AGGCCGATCCTCTCTCTCCTCTGTTCCACCTATGACCCTATTATGAATAACCCTCTCTCCTTTCTGCAAAATCTTAGATCTGTCTAGATTACCATTTAATATTCTTGTTATGGTCAAATTTTCCCAAACCATTCAGTTCATTCATTACAGGCAGTGTTTACCAGTCTTCCTAAGACTTCAGAAGCGTAATTCTGAAAATCCACGTGTCTCCTAGGGAGGGTAATGCCCTGACCTATTGAGAAGACACGTCTACCACCAGCAAGTTCCATTTAAATAAGCTGCTGCAGCACAACAAATACAGCATATGGTATCAATAAAAGTTTTCTGAATTTGTGCTTTAGAAGCACCAGCGCTTAAATATTCCTTATGACTTATGTTTTACAGTAAGAAGTGGTTGCATCATGAAATATAAAACCGATTTATTTTGCCTGTGTCACTAAACTGCTTCTGAAGCCCCAGTGTACTTTGTGCATCAACGTAATTTTCAATTTAAATAAAAAATTGTGACACAAGTAGAGCAGCACGTGAATCCTCATTTTACTTAGCACAAACCTGTAAGTTCAGCGAGAATTTCTCGAACAGGCACTCCTCGTGCATAGGTAAAGCCATGAACTCTGTAAGCTGTTATCACATGGTCTGTAGGCTTTATGGCAACTTCAAGCCCCACACAGCAAGCCTCCTGTTACAAAGGAGAAGTAAGCTTAGGGATGAAGAAAAGCACACAACTTCTACAGTCAGCAGTGCGGCAAGGGCTACCTATGATCCCCCATGCATCAAGTATCGGCAGAAAAGAGGAAGAGCACAGATGCAGGAGACTGCCTCAAATCCCAAGGGGCGGCAGGCCTTGGGCTCTAAATTCCAACCTACTATGACTAACAAAAGCAGACAGGAGGGGAACTAGAAGCTGCAAAAATCTGCTGACTTCTTCTACACCCACCTCCCAAATGAACTATATAAACAACTGCAATTCAAAAATGGGGGGGAGGGAAAGGACAGACCGCAAAGTTTCACTAAGTTCGTGAAGTTCCTTCTCCTGGCTGTTGCTTTTTAGTGGGCACATGACCTATGAGACACCGGAACAAAACACATCAATGAAGCTTGAGGAGGAGGATGCAGGCTCCAAATGTGTTGAATTTAATACGCTGCAGTTGCTCATTCCTCACATTCAGCTGATCTTCAGCTGCACCTTGCCTTCTCTCTCTTCCTATTGCTGTCCCAAGATCTCAGGGACTCCCTTGTGTGCTAAGACATTGTTTTTAAAGAAATAACGAACTAAATCATGGATCCAGCTCAACTTCAGACATTGTACACAGATACTCAGTTCTAGATTTTACTCTCCACTCTATTCAAATCCCTGCATTAAGGAAGGTGAGACAATCTAAAACCTCTTGGGAAAAAAAATTCTTACCTGACCATCATACAAGTGGCAGAAGCCACGAATAATCTTCTGCTTGTACAGCTGGTCAGACTTCAGCTCCATGCGTCGTATGGTCTGCATTGTCTTGTAGTAATGGAGCCCCTCCTCTCGAGTCATCACTGCTGTGGTACTAGGGCCTTCTTCCAGGCGATGGAGGTCACATTTCTGCAAAGTTGAACAAGCAGTCATTTCTTGAAAGTAATTCATCCTATTTATGAATATCACTTTATTTTTTTTTAATGATGTGCCTTTTTCTAATTCAGATCTTAATATCTTTTAAAAAAGAAAGCCAGCAAAACCTAAATTTGTAGGTCAAAACAACTCTAAAGTTTGTGCACGATTTCCAAATTCAGGGAAATAAAAGCTTTACTTTTAATAAAGGCAGATTTCCAACCATGAAATGAAGCCTTGTAGTTCCTACTAGCAGTAGATGAACTAAATTCCTCAAAAAATACTGGCAAAGCACATTTCCATGGTTGTTGCATGCCAAATACTTGGTAAGAGCTACAGAGGCTTAGTGAAAAGACAAGAGAGTTTCCTTTGTGAAACAGTTTGTAAGATCTGGTCCCGAGACTGGACTTCACCTCTTCTACCACCACTTCTAACAAGCAGTAACAAACCACTGCTGCACCAGCCACCCTGCCAGTCAAACCACCATGCGTACACTACAACTTCCTCCCTACCATGGACTCAATAGAGTTGCACAGAGGCCGATTTTGGGTACGCATACAAAACAAAAATTAAAAAAAAAATAAAAAAAAAATCAGCTGAGTTCAGTGGAACAGACCAAACAAATTACGCTGTCAGTGCAGATTAAATGGCCAAAATACTGCTATACAGATTAAAGACAGTTTTATCAAATCAAGGTCTCCCCAGAGCAAATCCACTGACACCTAGATGAACTTGATATAACACACACGCACACCACTCTTAAGACAGCTCTGCTTCAGAATTCACATACCAATAGAAAATTAGGAGTCTTGTAATCAACACAGGACCAAACATTAAACCTCGTATCTACTCAGAAAAGACTTTTCATATAAACATATTTTCCCTCCCTTCTGCCTGTGAAACAATTTTAGTACTTTACAGGCATGGACAAACAGGGAGCGGGTAAAAGGAAAACTCAATAATTTCTTTCAGAGTTTTTTATCAATTCCTGAATGAAAAGCCAGCACAAAAGCTACTGCCAATGGAAGCATCGCTTTTTCCTAAGACCTAGCCACTGTGGAAGGCTGACAGAATATAACGCACATTTTTTGAGCAGCACCAAGTCAAGCATTAAAAAGGATGCCATATTTTCTCCTCCAAAATCCATATGGTCCTCAATCAGCTGCACATCTGGGATACAGCACCCATGACTCCATAAACAAAAGGGAGATGGAAAGAAGGGTAGGCAGCAAACACCAGCTACTTGTTTTAAAAGCATTAGGGAAACATTAATACTCTTCCCCTCAGAACAGAAAAGGTTCTTTAGCTCCTTTGTGACCCCATTCTCACAGCTGCAAAGAATCACAACTTCACGTTCTTAAGAAACAAGTAACATTACTACATACTGCCAAGCGCAGTACTTCCAGCTGCATGTAGAAATCAGGTCAGACAGTGAGGGGTTTGGTTCTGGAAATTCAAACAGTATTTTCCTAATTGAAAAGATAAGGGGGCAAGTCCATTGTGTCAGGATCTACAACAAGTGCTTACCCAGAATGCCAGTATTAAGTGTTCAGCTTCTTTACCTTAATTTCAAATGTAGCTTCACTTGCAAAGTCTGCATAGTTACGTGATGCTACCACCACTCGAGATGCCTTAAAAAAAAAAAAAGACAAAACCAAAATATGAGCAATATTTAAATATAATTACCAAGCAAAAGTAGATGAATTCTCAAAAAATTTCTAACAGTACTCCCAAATTGAAATAATTTGTGAATTAAACTCACCAGTGGCATATCCTTATTACACTAGAAAAACTTTCATTTTGTACGTATGTGCTAGAATTCCTTTAAAACCTAGTATTTAAAGTTAAGATTAGAAAAAGAGAATTTTAAATTTGTAATACCCTTGATTACCTAAAATAAAACCAGTAAGTTTCAAAGACTGAAGAGCATCAAAACCACAAAAATAATTATTTTTCCCTTCACATGCCAGATTGCCTATATAAGGAGAGACAGCCAATGCAGATTGTGATGGCTCTCTCCGCTGACTGGAATTTTGCCTTGATAGAACAAAAAATTTGAGGAAAAAAAACCAACAACAAAAAAACAACCCAGCAGATTTCTGGAATGTGAACTACTCTCACTCTTTCTTTTCAATAGGAAGAGAAGTTGGGGGCATGCAAGGCAATAACAATGAAGAACGAGAGTATCATTTAAGAGGGTAGCAGCATGGCCACTACTTAAAAATGATAGAGAAACATAAAAGGTGACACACCTGAGGATACATGAAATACAGAACAACAGAAAGGGTGGCATGGTAGGGGAGAGATAAGAAGAATGTTTAAAAATATGTTACTGTTCCATCTTAAAGAATAAGCACAGGCTATTGACTAATGAACATCTGGTATTTTTCGATAACTTTAGTGAGTTTCACTGCGGTATCAGATTCGATGCTCATCTGTCCCTGCATGCGCTGCGGCCATAGCTTAAGGAATGCACTACATGTTTAGTGGCAAAATCGTATTGCTAATTAAGTTACACATAGATTTCAGTAGCTCATTCAACCATGGAATTTGCATACATTTAGCTGAAGGTTCATTATTTCGAAGTTTTGAGAATGTCCAGGCCACAGTCTCCTAAAAAGGTCTGACTGATAGGTATAAAGCTTGGAAAAAAGTCAGGAGAAAGTTCTCAATCCATCTTGGTTACCTACTCTGTTGTGTATTTGATTTAGCAATCACGATCCCCTCCTTCCCCTGCCCCATTATCAGCTTAAATATTTAGAGTTTTTAATTTAAACCAAGTTTCTACACTGTTTACCACAATGCTTCAGTATTATCGGTGAGAAAAAGCTATTTTACTTCTGGAGCCGGAAGTAAATCAAGAGTTTGGGATTCGCAGAATCACAGAATGGCTGAGGCTGGAAGGGACCTTTGTAGGCCATCTGGTCCAACCCCCCTGCCCTGAATACAACATAAAAGCAAAGTTCTAATACATGGCCAGTACATATGTCAAAACCAAACCTCGGCAAAACTGATTCAGGCCTTACCTCACTAACAGCTCCCTAGGTTAGCAGCATTTGGAAGGAAAAAAAAAAGAGAAGAGTAAGTAACTGTAACAATTAGGAGAGGAGAAGTCAGCAAATTATTAGCCAACTAGAACACTGTAAGAGGTACTTTCCTTACAGGTAAGCTCTGCATCATGGAAATCCATCCTTACGCTTTGCAACATGCTCAAAGTAGGTACAAAATACTGCTTTACGGATTAAGACTGCTTCTATTTGTTTGGTAATTTACACCTTCGCTATAAATGCATAGGAAGAATTCAAGACAAGTATTTACGTATTTGGCAGTCACTAGGATCCAAAGATCTGTACTAAGATATCCAAACCAGATCTAGTTTGGACTTCCAGCAAAATGCAGATGTTAGGAGCCGGCCACATACTCGCAGTGAAGAACTAACTTTAGGTATCCGTGTTTGAAAATTTTAATACAGGTATTTTACTTGGAAATTAGGAAATACTTTTAGATACATATTCCATATAGTCCCGATAGACACAGGAAGACCTTTTTCACACCAGAGATAAAACACAACAAATGACAGACTAACGCCAAAAAAATAACACAGTTTGAAAGAAAATTCAGGAAGAGATGAAGAGAGACCATGGTTTGAGCAAAGAAAGGTGAAGCAGCTCAAAAAAGGTCAGATGGTTGAATTTCGAATGGAACAAGGGGAGTACGTTTACCCCCCGTTTAGGATCGGACCTGCGCCGACAGCCAAAATACAAATAAATAAAATAACTCGAGGCAAAGCGCCTGGAGCAGGGTTTCAGGAACGAATCGGGATGGTTTTTTATGCGCTAAAAGTAAATCTAGCGAAGAGGTTACCGCGCACCGAACTGACGGAGGGTCTCCGGGCAGGGCAGCCAACAGCCGC